TAAAACAGAACAGCCTCTCCCTGCTCTCTGTCACTTTCCCGAAATAAAACAGCATCTTATTATCCAGAGACACGCAGGGCAGGCAGGACCAAGCCTGGGCCCCACGTCCGCCCATGTTGCCTGCTGCTTGGCGCCTGGGCTCCCCCTTGCCAGCCGGAGCTCGGAACTGGGCCTTGGCTTTGGGGCTGGGAGGGTGGGCTGGCTGTCATCCCAGAGCACACGGTGTGTCTTCTACCTGATTGCTGGGCCACCAAGCTCCCCGTCACCCCAAAACCTACAGGGCCACTACAGCAACACTCGTGCACCACCCGCGGAACCTCTGGGAGGTGCGTACAGAGCCTCACGTGCAGACACACGGAAGGGCCCGGAACAGAAGACTCCAGCCCTTCCCGCAGCCCCCAGACCTCTCATCCCGGAGATCAGAGCCCTTTCTACCAGCACAGCCTGGCTCATTAGTCTGATATGTGTCTGCGGCCAAAAGCAATCAGCTCCCGAGTGTCAGGAGCCTGGAGAGTGAAGGGGAGGTGAGCAGTGGAAGCTGTGACACACTCTCCAGCTCCTGACACCCACCCGGCCCCCAGCTCTCACTCAGCTCCCGCCACAGCTGGTGACAATGCCGACCTGGAACTCCTTGCGCGGTAGCACCCAGCCCTCCTCCCCCTCTGCCCGCTCCCTCAGGCCCTGGCTCCACTCCTCGGCCTCTGCCCACTGCCCATCTTCAGCAGGCAACCCCCTCCAGTCCCTTCTCCAGACAGAGACGTCTTCACAGCCACGTGCTAGAGGCCGCTCTCCCGAGTGTTCCTGAAGGGCCTGACCTCACACAAAATGTCACCCCCTTACCTCCCACCAGCTGGCCCCTGACTCTCCATCTCGGTTACTGGTTTGTCATCACCCCTGGGCTGGCCAAGCCTGAAACCTAAAGCACCTGCTGAAAATGCTGAAATTCCTTCCTGGACCTGGGCAAGGGGGGTGTCTGCTGCAGGACCAGGGGAAAGGAGGCAGCCCGGAGTGAGCTGACCAGGCCCACCAGGGGCTGAGAGCCCATACCGGAAAGGAGGGAAGGCATGTCCGTGGAGGCATGGCCCACTCGGCATGCTGGAGCCCAGACAGCAAGGCGGCAGGGGGAGCCATGCCGGCTCATACCAGAGGACTCGTCAGCTTAGAAACCACAATGGGGACAAAGGACACCAAGGCTCTCACTGTCGGGGAGGAGCTACAAAACGGGAAGTCCCTGCTGGGGACTGGAGTGGGAGGCACGAGTGTAAGCGTAGGCCTCGCTGCACACAGGCAGTAATGAAACGCAGACGAGTGTGTGTGCACAGAAACACACACGTTACGCACACGTGCGTTCCCTGGCTCTGTCCAGTGAGAGAGGTGCGGGGAGCAACCGCACGCTGGACAGCCCCAAAGAGAACACCCAGAGCCAGCCCTTGGCTTCCACACGCCCTACGCCCCCAGAAGGACCTGGGCTCCTCAGGGGGTGCCGATCCCAGGAATGGGGCAGGGACAGCAAGACAGACAGAAGTGAGGATGCCCTCCAGGACGATGGACGAAAGGCGACTCAAGCTGGTGGGAGTGGGTTCCCACCAGCTGAGTGGGAAACAGGCCTCATATAGAGAGAGATGACGGTAATTCTGGACTATAATCCACTGATCAGAATATAAAACAGGGATATAAAGCTACAATATGAAATACGAAAAAGGACACCGTGAGTTCAAGTTGAATACACTGAAAGTCTGACAAGGAAGGGAGTATTCACACAGTCAAGGCACCTCCTCCCTCGGAACACTAACCACAAAGGGCGAGGGGGGCCCCCAGGAAGTGCAGGCAGCACTGCAGTCGCGTGGCGAGAGCGGTGACGCCCGGCAATGCGCCAGCCGACAGCCACCGCCACGAGGAGGCGGGTCTCCCGCGGCACTCCTGCCCATGGGGCCTTAATCCTGACTGTGATGGCCGCGTTGTCTCAACGGGAGAGAAACCTCCTTTGCAGGGATCGCACACTAAAGGGTTCGGAGGGTGGAGCACTGTTTCAGCAGCTTACGTTCCAATGAATCAGAAAAAAGGTCCTTAGCACTGTACTTGCAACTTTTGAAAATTTTTTTCAAAATATAAATTAGAACACAGGCTGCTAGACCCACTGCAAACCTGCTGAATCGAATCCCTGAGAGTCTCTTCTTCCCGTACCACATTGCTAAAATCGCCATCACGAGGACCCACTTTTCAATAAAGACCAAATGGAAAATGTTCAACTTAGAAAAGGCATGTGCCCTTTTGAACTCAAAATCCACCGAAATCATTACAAAGTAGGTTACATTCCTGAATTGCAGAAAATTGTTAAGAACACAATATTAAAAAATCGATTCATTTTCTGGATTTTTCACACCAAGAAGGAAGGAATTCTTTTCATTCTCATTAACATTGTCCCATAAATACTGACCAAGGAGATGGTGAGAGGTGAGGGAGGGTTCTCTTGGTTTCTGTTCAGTGGGGAGGGCAGGAGGTGAAGGGCCCCCAGGGAATCTAATAACAAACAAGGCCCTGGGCCTGGAAGGTGCAGCTCTGCACTCAGACACCAACACCCACACAGCCCCGCCGGCTCCCGCCTCCCCAGGAGTCCACACTGGGAGCCAGGCTGAGAAGCCCTGTCTTAAAAAACCTAATGCAAGAGCAGTGAAAGAGGGAGGAAGCAGAAAACAACGGATTAAATTCAGCTTTCTCAAGGGATAAATGAAGTGGGAACAGTCAGTGGTGACTAACAAGAAGCCAGTGTCAGGCGGCACAGTCACCGGAAGAAGGCACAGGGCCAGGAGAGCCTCTAAGAAAGCCGGCCTCGGAGGCCGGAGTCTCGCTGGGCGTGGGGCGAGGGCCCGGCTGCGGCTGGCGGCTGTCACCCTAAGGCACCCCAGCAGCTAGTCCGGTGAGTAAAGGGGGAGAAACAAAGTATTCTTTTCCAGTTCCGATTGAAATAGTTTATAACTTTTACTATTCAAAGCAAAGAGGATTTCTGCTTTTGCTCAGGTTGGCGAAATCAGGGAGAGGGCGTAGAGAGGGCGTCGCCCCAATCCTGCCAACAAGGGAAGCCTGACAATGAGCAATGGAGGCAAAGGCAGATCCACGCCGCGAGGACTTCATCGGAAATCACACCAAACTTGAGCGAAGAAGTGACACACAATTCAGCACAAACTTCCATGAAACAGAGAAGGCGGGGCTAGCTCTCAGCTCATTTAATGAGGCCAGTGCTGTTCTGGGACCACAACCAAACACGTTGCAAGATAAGAAGACTACAGACCAGTATTCCTCGTAAACAGAGATGCAGAACTCCGTCACAGGCACGAGCACCCGAATCCAGGGACAGGAAAAGAAGAGACAACAAAAGTGAGGCTTGTGCCAGAAAGTCAAGGTTGGCTCAGCGACCAAAGATCAGTCAATGTAATTTACCACATCAAGAGACTGAAAAAAGAACACCAGGTGGTTACCTCCACGGATGCTGAGAAAGCATTTTAGAAGAGTCGACATTGACTCTTGACAGAAGCTCTCAGCCAGCTAAGAATAGAAGTGAACTTCTTACCTCGTAAAAAGCATCTGAAAAAGCTCCGGCTGACGTGGTACGTAGTGGTGAGGGCCAAATGCTTTCTCCCCAAGATTAGGAATGAGAAGGCTTCGCACAGCCCCCAGTCCAGTCGCGCCGCTGCGCCGGGCGCTCCCGAGGATGGCGAGGACGGCGCCCAGGCCCAGCACACACCTCCGCCCGAGAAGAGCCAGGCAAGCCCTCCCCGTGCAGCTGAGGCCTGACGTGAGCGGCCCTCCGTCCTCCCACTCCAAGTGCTTGGAGCTGCGGCCACGTGCCAGGTGCAGGACGCGTTTAAAGAGCAAACGACGCAGCCCAGCACGCGTGGCCTTGCTGACCTTCCCAAGACACTTGCTCCACTATAAGCCGCAGGTGGGTGTGCCTAAAATAGCTCCCAGTTTGTCCCACAGCTGCAAAAGGAAAGGAAGTCTTCAGGTTCACACAGACCAATGGCAGGCCCCCACTGGACGGGGACAGCGGAAAGTGAGCCCCCAGGCCCAGACCCCCACACGGTGGCCCCCGGGGCAGGCCGCAAGGGAGGGACCCACGCTTACCAATCCAGCATTCCAAACGCGCACAGGGGGTGGTCTTCACCACGTCGGGGGGATCCACGCCGACGTTCAGGCACAAGACTAAGGCGACGCTGACCGTCTTCATCTGGGGGTGGGAGAGAAGAGACACGCACTTCAGTGTGGAACACACAGGTGCAGCTGCAGGCGTTACAGCATTCCCAGCCCGGCGAGGCCCTGCCTCCCCAGCCAGACCCTCACGCGCCGGGGACCTGTGCTGCCCCAGCGGCACGTCAGAAGTAGCCCCCTTCCCAGGAGATGGGGTCTCAAAGGCAGGTATGGGGGCAGGGGGCACATGGCAGGAGAGGCTTTTCTCGGGCTTCCTTGTGAGATGCTTCCAGAAATAGAATTCTTTGATCAAAAGATATAAACATTTTTAGACACTTAATACATTCTGCCAAATTGCTCTGCAAAAACTCTGCACAGATTAACACTGACCAGTTCAGTGCTCTACTCATCACTTAAAATTGTTCATCATTCGATGAGAGAAAAGTTGTCATTTTGATTTAGTGTGCATTCTTCAGTGTTAATAAGGCTGAATGTTCTTTTTCAAACATTTGTATCTTTTATCGTTTGTGCCTTTTCTACTCGTGTTTATACACCGCTTATTTACTGACGTTAGTGGCCTCTCCTCTCCACACATTGCAGATTGCATCCACGTTACCCGATGTAAATACTTCCCTGGCCTGGGGTTTGCCATGGACTCCTTTCCTGTTAGTGACATCCAAAGTCCCGTGCCCGTCAGCTGACACACCTCCCTTCACACCTGCCCAGTCCCTGCTCCAGGGTCCCCGCATTAGGGAGTGCCAGCACCCCCTCCCCAGCTGCTTAGCCAGAAACCTGGACTCATCCTTCATTCCTTCACTTGCTCAGCAGACGCTCACTCAGCACCGGCCAGGCAGCAAGTGCTCTTCGTAGACACCATCAGTAAGGCAAAGGCCACAAACCTCCACAGGGAGCGGGGGTATCACTTCAACAGGCTGGCGGGGGGGGGGAACGTCTCCCCTCCACCTACTCCCCCTATGACCCCCTGCTCCGTCCTCAGTCCTGCTCCTGATTCTGTTCACCTCACTACCCCCGGCTCCAGGCCACCAGCATGCCTGACCTGTGCTACAGCCGCCCTCCGGGGCCCCCACCTCCCGCAGGCCAGGCTGTTAGACACATCAGCGCACCGCCCTGTTTTCAATCATTCCCTGCATTCTTTGGAATTCATGTCTGGCCCCCTCGACACACTGTTAAAGCCTTGCAGTGTTGCAGAAAAGCGTGTTACAGCTCAGTCGTGAGACCAAGCAGCACTCAGAGTTGAGAACTCAGGTTTATTACACCAGCAGGCCTAGAGAAGTTAACACTCCAAGCTCTAGACCCCGGCTGTAAGTTTACACAGGCTTTTATAGGCTGCCAGTTTACACTTTGCAACATCATATGCAAATAAGGTGTAACAGAAGTTGACTAATTAGGAACAAGCGTTGTAAAAATGGACCAATCAGGAGTGAGAGAATTGGACCAATCAGGAGTGAAAGAAGTAACCAATCAGGAGTGAGGGAAATGGACCAATCAGGAGTGAGAGAAACCACCAATCAGGAGTGAGCTCCATGCAAATAAAGCACTACAAATGGACCAATCAGGAGTTAGCTCAGAGAACCAATAGAATTTTAGGGGTAAGTTCCACTTTCCTAGAAGTAAACCGTTTCCCAGGCAAAAAGTGAGATAAAGCCGCTGGGCCAGATGGTGCCGGCAGGAGAGTAGTGGCCCTGCCTGGGGGTCCTGCTGGTCTTTTTTATGGGGCCTCCCACCTCAATAGCTTCAACCCCGGCCTACGCCCCACGGCCGTCAGGTCTTACCCCGGTCCTGCAAGACCCCTGGGCCTTTGGACGCCTAGGCCTCTGCCTGGGGGCTCCTCACCAGCCCCGCAGGGAGGCCCCGGGGCCCGGTCAGAGCAGAGCCCGTGGCCCCTGTCTTCCTCCGGCAGAGCCCGGACCAGCCCTGCCCAGAGCAGCCCGGCTGCCCAGAGAGTGAACACAGGAGTTTCCTCGAGAGCGTTCACTGGTTTTACATTGAACCCTTTTAACCCCTCTGGATGTGACTTTGGTACATGGTGCAAGATGAGGATTGTTTTTTTCTCAAAAATCTATGCAATGGTGCCAATTCCCCCTGTTAAATAATCTCCCCAAACTCACAGGCTTGGGGTGACTCCCTTAGCATACAGGTACCCCTAGACCAGATTCTAGCTCTGGGTCACACACCCAACTGATTAACATAATTTATCTTCACAGTTTTCACAACACTTGGGAGAGCCTAGTTTTCTTCCTTACAATCTTTTCTAACTTTTACCTGGCTGTATTTATATTCATCTATTTTTTCCCAAACTAATTGTTATTCAGTTTCTTAATCCCATAGAAATTGTGATTAAAATTTTTAATCAAACTGCCTGTTGATAACACTGAGTATTTTAAATTGTCTTCTTTGATCCAGTAATTCCACACATGAGAACTTGTCACAGGAAATACAAAATATAATACGGGAGAACTTTCTAGGTGTAAAGATTTTTCTTTTTTAATTAATTAATTAATTAAGTTTTTGGTGGGGGGAGGTAATTAGGTTTATTTATTTTTAGAGGAGGTGCTGGGGATTGAACCCAGGGCCTTGTGCACACTAAGCATGTGCTGTACCACTGAGCTAAACCCTCCCCCCCGCCCCGTGTAAAGATTTTCTTTACAGCATTTCTTATCCTAGAAAACAAGTCAGAATGACCTAAATTTTAAGCAAATAAAGGAATTTAGCTTAAGCACATCATTATATACTCTGAATAGAATGACGCTTAGTTTAATTCTTAAAATGTTAAATGAATAAAAATGGATTCAAGACACACAAAAAATTACATTAAGCATATAAACTAAACTTGGCAAGACATGACCGCCTTACGATGGTCTGCTCTTCCGTGTGGGAACACAGCGTGCTTCACTGCCTATTCAAATGTTCTTTTAACTTCTCTCAGCAATGTTTTTCCAGTTTTCTTCGCCAAGAAGGCTTGTTCGCTTCTTTGACGATTGTTCCTGGGTAGCTTGTGAATATCTGGGGGTAATCCGCTGCTATACGTGTATCTTGCCCAGAGCAGTTTCTTACTGATAATTGCTTATACAGCAGAATAATGCTTAGTCACTTCACTAAATCTTAATTAAACATAACTGGCTTTAGGTGACTCCCTTCAGATTTTGTCAGTGTGAAAATAGACTGTCTGTGAATAATGACGAGTCTACCTCATTCTTTCCAACAGATCATTCCTCTTTTTCTCTTTTAGGTCCCATGGCGTTGCCCAGATCCCCCCAAATCACATTACTAACAATTACAAAATGATGATAGTGGTGATCTTTGCACCTGGTTTTAATAAAACTGTCATAAATGTCTCATCATTAAAAGTGATGATGGTTACTGATGTGACATACGACAGTCTTTATTACATCAAGAAAACAGTCTTCCATTCACAACAGAACTGAAACTTGTACAGGGGAAAGAAAAGTGTTTTTGTCTCTCCTCTCCCAACACTTAAAAAAAAACATTTAGTTATAATAATTTCACTTTTTAAAGGAACTGCACCCCTGCCTCCAAAGACATACTGAAGAGAGGAACACAGGCCAGAATCTTCTCATTCTGAACCGTAAGACGCAAGTGGTCCCTTGGCCGAATGTCGGGGGAAGGGCTGAAAAATCAATCAGACAGTAACAAAAGTTTTAGTTGTTAGTCATTTTCCAACATTTAATTGGTCAGTGTCAATAATCCCATACAGCCGATTATTTATAGCAAACTCAGTCTGAGGCTAAGCTGCCTAAAAGTAAGTTTCTGGAGAGACCTGCGTCCTTCCTTCAGCCATGGTGAACAGCTACTAACACCCTCACCAGTTTTAAATCAAGGGCATTTTCCCCGTGCTCTGTAACGGGGACTCTGAGGTCGCCACGCCGCCTAGATTCCAACCCTGGGGCGAGTTCCGGGTCGCCTTCCTCAGCCCTCCCGCCGGCCACTCTGGGTGGACGGGAGGCTTCCGTGGGGGGAGTGTCCTGTGTGATCGGGGTCTCTGCTGACCGTCTGCTGCACCGCACAGCCTAGTCTGTCTCGACCTGCGACGAGAACCACTCCTGATAGCTGTGTTCCTTTCAGACGTCCGTCACCGGGGGGTGGACCCCCAGGGGGGCCAGGGGGAAGGGGAGCCGCGGGGCTCTGGGCTGCTGGGCCCTCGGGGCACCCCGACGCCGCCCCTCCTCGCACCTCCAGGCAGCACAGCCCGACGGCTCCTGGGCTGAAGGGCCCGCAGTCCCAGGGCTCACCCCG